GGGACGGGAGATAAAAATAATTTATAATTTTTAGCATAAAACTTATTATTTATTACCTATCCTCTACTAAATACACATTAAATAATAACCTGTACTAAAATTGAGTAGGCTATAAGCATGAGTTTACAAAATAATAGTGTCATTCACCTCATTTTTACCTCCAACACATACTTATTAATTTTTTTCCATTGACCATCTTCAATTCATTCTATCCGACATCTGAAAATTGAGAGAAATGTGTGAGAAGTAAAAATGAGTGTATGAATAGCACTACCCTTACAGAAAACCTCCCTGGGCTACAACCTATTTTAGTTTTGTGGGTGGCTCCGCCATTGGAATTGTCTTTAAAATATCTAAAAATTTTTTTTTTGTGAAAATGTTTATAAAACCAATTTCTAGTAAAAATACAAGTGAAATCTAGAAAAGCACAAGAAGTGCGTCCTACAAGAAGCACCTAACTAGTGCTTGAGAGATTTTTTAGTGTGATCGGAACACGAGGTGGTATAACATGCGTCATTATACAAATGGTGGGATATGTGTGCTAAAAAATTAATAACTTAAAAAATAAAATTTCCCACCACTTCTATTAAACCACGTGGTGTACCACTTGCGTTCCCTTCACAACTTAAAATTTTATCTAGATTTCAAAACTCAAAAAAGTTTTTTTTTTTTTTAATTTTATTTTATTTATGAAAGCGTTTTCAGTCATTTTAAAAGCAAATCTAAACAGATTCTTATTAAAGGAAAATGCTAAAGAGACCATATTTTATAAACCACATGAGGTGGCAATTGATGGTTGGACACTTCTCAAATGATTTAAACAAAAAATCCAACTACTAACTATCACAACATATAATATACAAAATATAATTTAAGTAGATCATCAACGTTACATTAAACATTTGTACAAGATTGGAAAATCAATAAAGCGAAAAAGCAAAACTAAAGCAGATAAAAACTGCATAAACAACTGAAAAACTCACGTCACAAGCCGCACAACCAACAAAACATATACCCCTAACATCCATATTTGGGTGGGACATTGAATTTCAAAGAAGTGATGCCTTTTAGCTATTGGTGGGATCATCTGCTGTGGAATTATAATTGTTTTCAAAGATCCAATTTTGATGCCATTTTAGTCCTCGATAAGGTAATCCAATACCCACTACCCAAAAGGATCGCATTATTGTTGTCCCTCGTGATTTAAATATCTACCACTTATGACTATCTGGCTTTTTACAATTCTTTGCAAAAACAAATTAAAACATAGATTTAATTAAATTTTTTTTGTCGAAAAACATAGATTTAATTAATTGAAAATAAATATTTAAGGATAAGTCTAAGACGGTGTTTGGTTAATTATTGCCCCATTTGGTCCCCTTACATGCATATCTCTCTTTCTCCTTAAACTATGATTTAATTAGAAAAAAGAGTTCAATTTGTACAAACTCGAAATAAGTTGTTAAATTCAATCATCAAATCAACGACTTGTTTAAGGATTGGTACGAAGTTGTTTAAATTTTTTTTAAAAGCAACTTCTAAAAAAAGTTGGGGTCTTAATTGTGTTTGGTATATTAAAAAAATATATATATATTTCAAAACTTGGTCCAAATTAGCAAAAAGCATAAGCATCTCTACACTTGCTTATCAAAAAAACAGTTTTTCATTAGAGGGAGGTGGACAATACCAATTAATGAAACTTTTATTTGACAATCCTACCCCATCTCTCTCTCTTTTTTTTTTTTTTTTTTTTTTTTTTTTTTAACTAAAAGCACTTTTAGCACTATATAGTTTACCAACACTGACCTGCTTTTTACATAACAATTTCTTTTCGCAGCATAGTAAAAGCAGTTTTGAAAAGAAAAAAAAAACACAACTCCAAACTAGCCCTAAATGTGTATGTGGTGGTGGTGCTCGTATTTCTTTGTAGCTTAAATGTGAAACCATATTCTTTTTTCTTTTTGAACAAATGTGGAACAATATTCTAACCAAAAGGAAAAGGCATAGCACAAGTACTTCAACGAAAAGTGCTTCTCTTTATGAAATTGCACCTACTTTTTTTTCCATAGAAAAAGTTTATGGCAAGTGGCTTAGGTCTTAAGATGCTTGAATTAATTTGTTATTGGCTTATTGCTAAGTGATCTTTGATTAGTGCATGAAATGATTTCCACTTAAAAAAAAAAAAAAATCGTAACTATTACTATATAATATGACTTGATCATCATCAGATCGTAGCCTAAATAAACAAGTCTTGAAATAAGGTCATCATTATTGGAGTGTAATTATTTTTTAATGAAAGTAGTATATAATATTCGAATTATTATATTATGGTTGAATATAATATATAATAAACGAAACATCGCATAATTAAGACAAGACGTCATCACCGAATTGATTAATCAAGTTATTATTGGATGATCTAGATTAAATTAAGAAATGAAACAATCACTATGGCATTGAGTGGATTGGTGTTATTAAAATCGAATCGCAGGAAGACTTTATTTACCAAAGTAATTCATCACATGCATCATACCGTCACGGATAATCACGCAACCCCTATATTATAAACTAAATATAACAAATATTATCAGTCAATAATTTGGAGTCACCCTCCTCAAATTGAATATGTTCATGCCTATTCTGTGAACACAAATAAAGTAAAAAAAAAAAAAACCGATGCTAGTGTTAATTGGATGATTTAGACCACATTTTAGCCATCAAAATATAATATTCTCATGGAAGCCAGCCAAAAGGACGTAATATTCCCATGGGTTATTGTGAACTCATTTGCTCGAATCAAAACTTATGCTTAAAAATTGACTGCATTAAACCCAACTTTATCCAAATGAATTTGGTAGCTAAACAAGTTAGATACAGATAACGTGGATTAGATCAGTTGACTTAATTAATTCAACTTTATCAAAATGAATTTGGTAGCTAATTAGGTTAGGTACAAGTATATCAGAGTTAGATAAGTTGATGAGGATAACGCCTTAGTTTAGCTTACGCTCGAGTTTAAATTCAATCAGAGTAATTTTGTATTCAATTAAATAAAGGACCAATGAGAAACGATTTTTGCATATCATTTATCTTCTACTATATAGGATATTGATTTTTGTTTTCGTCTATTAATTAGTATGTGTTTTATTCGACCAAAAAGTTGAAAATAAACAATCGCGTGCATGGAAAGAAAAAAGGCGTGTCTAAAAATCATCTTACGAAATCAATAATTACAGGTTTAACAATCTACAAAAGAAAAGAAAGTAAAGAAAGACCGATTGACTGGACCGACTTGAGCATTCGCATTTTCTCCTTTCTATTTACTACACAGCGCGAATCCTATCGCTTTCGTAAGCAAAGCGTGAAGTTTGCTTTGCCGTTCAACGTTCAACTAATTTCATAAACTCCGGTGGGTCCCCCCACTCACGATACCAATCCGATAAAACGCGATACGTGCGCGGCGATTTTTCGCACTTGGTTGTCGCGTTTGAGAGGACAACGGGCCAGCTGGTATGAGTCGCGCTAGATCCGAGCAGTGGGGCCAACTTCACGTGCCAGCATGCGCTGCAGTTTTGTCAAACCAAACTCCGCCACGTGGCAAGGATACAGGTGACGGGACACGTGTCCAAGGCCTCGAACGTCTAAACAGGACCACTTTTGGCCTCTTTTCTAGAACCAGGGGAAGTGAACCTCCATGTCGCGACAAAACTTGTGACTCCCAGCGCGAGACGCATTGTACTTTTGTTTTGTTCTCGTCTTATGACAAACCCGCATTTACCATACTGCCCCTCTCTCACCCTTTTTGTCCGCTCCCCCGCTATCTCTCTACGTTACGCTTTCAATTCCCTCGCCCTACGTGGCGGTCATCGACTGCTTGGAAACCAACGGCGCCGAAATATTTGGCGAGTTATGAAATTTATTATTTATTTTTTATAAAACGGAAAATACAAAGTGGTATTCTTCACATTTTTCATCTTTTCCTTCACATTTTTCATCAAATCCACCATATTTTATTTTTTAAATGTAAGTTATATTGTTTGCAGTGGTGAGATTCATGTGAAACTCAAGCATCTAAAATAACTCAGGTTTCCTAACGGGCAATGCGTTTTTTATGTGGTTTGAAGAAACAAAATCAGTTGTAAACATGAATAATGTTTTCACATAAATTACAAGAAAAAAACTTTATATGATACAAGCATTACTAAAGTACGTATCATGACATCCTTTATGATTATAATTATTTGGGCCGCCAAAAAGAGAAAAAAAAAACATATTTACATACGTCATAAATTTTAACAATTTCTATTTATTTTTTTAATTTTGGATAGAAGACTTTAAAAGAATAGAGCAAGAGGACCCAATTATCGCCCCAAACTTTGATATTTTCGCCAGTTTCATTTTGCGACCTCCAACCTAGGCGAATAACTTCATGAGTTGAACACACAAAAGCTTTTATCCAAGTCCACATATCTCATATTTCTTACGCATATGGTGTAAGGATGCGTCTTTTACATTACAATTTGAAAATCGGCGGGCTTGGTCGTTTTTTTTCCATGGCGATCTTTTCTTTTTTGTTTAAAAAAAAAACAAATAATTCAAAACAAAAATATCACCAGTGTCTCTTTTCTAGTTTACAGTTACAAAAGATCTATTACGTTATTTGGGCCAAACAAAAAGGATCAAACACCAAGCATACGACTCTACACGAACTGTCTATTGCCACCCACTACTATCCAGCCACGTAGCGAGCGCAACTCCATAATTCCGAGTGGGTCCAATAAAAACCTCGCCCAGTAGAACCGTGCGATGCAATATAATCCCGGGCCCCACCCCCGAGATATTGAACCTAACCCCGAGTGGATAAATCGAAAATCCTACGTGTCAATTCCCGTAATATTAGAAGGGCCAGTTACGTAATTTTACCATAATTGAACTCGAAGAGAGGGCAGTCTTATCCACTTCTGCCGAGCGGCGAGCCGACCTGTATAAAAGGCAATCGAAACGCCCTCATTTAGCAGAAGAAGAAAACCCAAGCTTGGAACCAAAACGCAGCGTTTTGAGCCTCCCGAATGGCGACTACTAAGAGTTGCTACGCTAGGCCGAACTACCGGTACCTCACCAGCGACCACCAGCACCAAACCCTATCGTCCGATTTCGAGCTCGACGAGTCGGACATCTACAACTTCGGCAGGTCCAGCTCGCCGGAGTTCCACAAACCGGTTCCGAACTCCCGCGGCGTCTCGGCGTCGAAGAACCGGAGGGGAGATTACGGAGACCGGTCGGACCGGACCTGCGGCACGCCGTCGTCGTTGCCGGTCGGCATTCCGGACTGGTCTAAGATCTTGAGAGACGAGTACCGGGAGAAACGGAGGAGCGAAGACGACGAGGCGGATGGCGAGGACGACGTGGAGGGAGGCATGCGGATCCCGCCGCACGAGTTGTTGGCGAGGCAGATGGCCCGAACGAGAATCGCGTCGTTCTCGGTGCACGAAGGCGTCGGGAGGACGTTGAAAGGGAGGGATCTCAGTCGGGTGCGAAATGCAATTTGGGAAAAAACTGGGTTCGAAGATTAATATTTATTTTTCAGAAGAAGGAAATACATAGGGGTTTGGGGTGTACGGAAATTATTGGTTAGATTTTTTTTTCTTTCCTTTTTTTAATTTCTGATGAATTTTCTGCTCGTTTTTCTTCTAGTTTGTGGGATCAAGATGATCGATTTTACGAATGTAACCCCGAATTGGAGAATTGTCCTGAAATTCTCGTAGGTTTAAATTTAAATATTAACATAATTTGTTCTTTAAATTCCAATTTTTTAATTTAATTAAGTTAATTGGGTTGTTATTTCGGATGATATGAAAGTGGTTAATTTTTGGGTTTGAAGTTTGAAAATTGTAGGGGAGAAACGGTGGCGGTGGCGGTGGCGGGGCCAAGTTGGTAAATCGAAATGGAAAGTAAATGATTGGCGGGTGTTCTTTTAATTATTTGATTGTTGGTGGGGTTGGTACGAAATAAAAAGCAGAGGTTAGAAACTGGTGAGAAGGACCGCAATTGAAAAATAATGCCCTCTCTTCTTCTCCCGTGTAAACTGAAAATAATAATAATAATAATAATGCACATAATACAAAGGTGTCAAATCTAGCCCCTTTTTCTTTTCCCTTCTAGTTTTGTCGTCGTCCCTGAAATTTTCATCAATCTTTCCTTAGACGGTGTTATTCATATTGCATATTTTACTTTACACATTCTATTTTAATTTTTGGTCGTTGAGTCGAAGATCAGTAGCTAAATGGTTGAAAAATGTTTGTGTTTGCAATTTGGGTCGATTGGGATTTACAAATGCATCGGCGGTTGTCGACAATTACTTTCACACCATACAGCCGTTTTTTTTTTTTTTTTTTTATACAAAAAATATTATTTACACTAATAGAGAGAGAGAGGATAGAATTAGCCTCATAATGGATTAGTAATAATGTGATTCAAATTTGTATCTGGCGAGAATCAAACCTCAAACCTTTTACTTTCAGATGAAAAAAAAAACTACGAGATTATAATACTAAATGGCTCCATCAGCAGTTAATAATTGCTTATATGCTCATATGACGACTAATACAATAAATTGTTCAATGCAATTGCTATGAGGGTTTTTAGAGCATCTATAATGGGGACTTTAAATGAAGTCTCTACAACCTTACAATCCCTAAAATAAGGATATAAGGTTTTCAATAGGTCGGAATATAAGTCCTCAAAGTATCTCAATATAAAAGGACTCACCGGATACCTCAATGAAATCGTCAAATTTGATGACTGTTTATAGAGACTCAAAGAGTGGGCTTACTGTTGATTTTGAGTGGGAAACAACCTCACCGATGTGTGCCTTCTCTTTTTAGGAATGATGCACAACAACTTCTCTTTTTGGTTTTTTTTTCTTTAATTTTTCTTTTTCAACACGAGAAAACTTTTTTATTTTTATCAAACTGTACTTCAAGGAAATGAATAATAATTTTTTAATATGTTAATCCCTACATTTAGGGATTATACTCATGGCAGATTGTAGAGGAATTAATTTTAATTTGAAGGCAGTCTATTTATTTTGAAAACATAATTAATATTTTAAATTGCTCTAATCTACCAAAGTGAAAAATCTAAACTATATCACGATATCCTAAACTAGTCTGAAATACTTTAACTTGTAGCCAACCTTAATTAATTTTGAAATATTCTTATGGTGAGATGTCAATTGTTTTTAATCAATTGAGTAATATGTAGACTACCACCATTACATATATAGTTTTTGTTTTCCTACAAATCTTATGCTTTTTTTATAAGGCTCTAGTTGCTTCTTCGATAAGGTTATGTAGTGTTCAGTTCTTTAATTAAGGAAATTATTATTAGCACCATTTTACACTCTTAACAAGTGTATTCTTCTTTCTAATTATAACAATTGTATTTTACACAGATTTGGAGACGAAGACCATCGGATGAGATTTGGTTTTCGACGAAGACTGTCGGCTACAACCGGAAACGAGAGCTTACATGTACACGACTCGCTCGTCGCATTGTAGGCTGGAGGATAACCAGAACCAGAGGAGGAGGAGGGATTTCTGATTTTCATTTATTTTTATTTTTATTTTTGTGAGATGAGATGAGTCATGACTGGCATGGAGGGAAAGTTTAGGTTCAAGTTGGAGGCATTATTGGTTTGAGTAGATGTAACGACATGTTTGTGCTTGTGTCATAATTTTTTTTTTTTTTTTTTAGAAGACACACGAGCGCGATGTGTTATATTCATCCTTGTTCTATAATAATGTGATGGCTTAATTTGGCTTGTATTGAGTTTTGAAGGTAACATTAGTTGTTTTCTTTGTAGTTTTTTTTTTTTTTTTTTTTTTAACATTTTTGTTCTTGTAATTTTGTTCTGTTTTTGCTGTATTTAATTGATCACGAAGTTGAATGTTTCATCAATTCCGTATGCACATCTTCTCATTGGATAAATAATAATAAAAAAAAAGCCCAACTTAAATGAACTAATGGTGTTGACGAAATAAAATTAGAAGAACGAAAATGCAATAAACAACACTCTTGCTTATAAGCTTCGCTAGATCTAAATTACAGAGTTGAGTTTTTCATTATACATAAACCGTTAGTGCAATTTAGCATTTTATTTATTTATTCATTAGTTTCATATTCACAGATATTTCAATCTTGCCTCTTCCACTTCAAATTGTTGCACAAACGAAAATTTTAAACGAATAAAAAGATTATAAAAAAAAAAAAAAGTGAAGAAAATGCCAACCATGTTCTGGGATGGGTAGTTCTGTCATATTACAATTATGCTTTTGAATGAAAACGACTAATTGACAAATAAGGACACCAAGCGCTATATACTTGGTGAGTAAAGCAAGGACCACTTCGTCATTATGCCAACCTCCACAACGAGAGACATTCGACCTTGTCTTGGCAAAAATGAATGGATGGCAATAAGGCTTAAGCAACGGCTTTCCTTTCCGAAACGGAAGTTTGGAAGGATCCTAACCGTTGATTTTTATTTGAGTGGGACCATAGGTTTGGGGGTTATTCCATGCCAGTCCCTCACCCGTTTTATTTAAGTTCCCCCGTCCTCCTGGCCCTCCTGTCGCTTTCGTTTGGGGAAGAAATATATAGTCCTGTCCATTATGTTCCAAGTTGGAATCATTTGGTTAGAAAAAATAATGTGTCTTTCACTCTTAATGTGGATAAAGATCAGTATGATATGAGTATACCGCACGTAATGTCCTATGTTAATAAGATAAAAAAATGTGGATAGATTTTTTTCGTCATAAATCCTCTAGTTATTGGCACGGAAATCATTGTAACGATGAATCTATACCATACAAGTTGTCATCTTTAATCCGAGGTGATTACGTGAAATAAACCGTTATGCTCGTGTCATATACTAGTTCAGGATAAACCTACTATTGAATCTATTTTACCATTCAATCAAATGATCACACGTGGATTAGGAGATGCCTCTTTAATGAAAATTCTCTTGAATCGTGTAATTTTCTAAGGATAATATTAGGGAGATTAAATTTGTATAAATTTTTTGAAAACTAAAGGACATGAAAGTTGATGATTGATTTATTACTTAAGCGCTGATAAATGTACTCATTCTTATTGGTGACACATCATTTAGTTTGCAAAATTTTGTTTCCAAATTTAGTCTCTCTTGCATTTAAAACATAGGTCCTAAATAAAGATACTTGATAGATCACAACATATTATGCTTTGGTAAACGTGATGAGTTCGACACAATCTGCTTAACTATGACCACAGGCAGGATGAAATTTCTCATATTCACTCCGAGATTGAAAGGAGTGAATAATCATAATTTACAACTAGTTATCTAATTTTTAAAGAAAAATAAATAAATAATACAATAAATCAATGGTAGATAATTCTAGACCATTAAAGAAACTCGAATCTTATAATTAAAGTTATCCTGCCCCATAATCTTTGTTGGCAAATGGTCTAACATGCTAAAAGACAATTTGCTATGAGTTGTTGCGAGACAATTTGTTTTTATTTTAATTTTATTTTTTAGACTGTCAATTTGAACCAGATAAGGTGATATCTGGTAAAAATGTATGAACATCCAAATAGATAATCTGGCAATATAAAATTCCAGATATACGATGAGAAATTATTTCCATGTATAGAAACGGTTTAGTTGAGATGTTCATAAGTCAAGAGTTATGCTCTTATTAGCCAGTTTTGACATGTTATTTTATAAATTTAAAATATTAATTAAATAAATATATGTTTGAGTGTCCAACTAGATATTGATAAAATTCAATAGCCTTACCAAAAGTTAACCTGTAAGATTTTTAGGTATGATAAAGAGACTGTTAAAACTCAAAAATAACAACAATAATACTTGCATTTTCTCTGAAGTTAAAATTAAAAAATAATAAAAATAATCTTGCGTTCCCCTATGGGTGAATACACATATCTTATTTCTTTTGAATAACGAATTTTCATCATGTAAATTTTATAATCATAACAGTTTAGTTTCTTAATCCTCATTTGAAGGTCATTTCTACAGAAATCATTTGAAGCGAAGATCATTTAGTTATTCAAATGTACGAAACAAATCAACGGTGTGATTACCAAAAAGCATATTTATGATGAACCGTCAATTTCTTTCATACAGTTTGATGACTAAACGATTTCCAATTCGAATAATTTTTTCGTAAGGATGATCTTCAAATGAAGATTAAGAAATTAAAAGTTTCGATTATAGAGTTTATACGATAGAGATACGTTATTTGCAAAAGATGGAGCTCATTTTCTAATAAATTCTGTGCAGAAATTGAGATTTGTCGAGTGTAATCATATTGTGATGACAAGCCCGGTCAACCTACAATTTTCAGAAGCTTTGGGCTTGGCCCAAAAGCTCCTTTGACCTGCCCCAACCCAAAAGTATAAAATCCGAACTTTACAAAACGGCCCGTATCGTACTAGCACGGCTCAGTTCGGATTTCGGAGCCACCCACCTACTGGTCAGAGCCGCGTTGCGAATGGAGTAATTTGCAGCGGAGCACAGACAGAGCCAACGACTGGTAGACGAGCCCCTCTCTCTCTAGTCTCGACCCCTCTCTCTCTCTCTCTCTCTCTCTCTCTCTCTCTCCAAGCACACTCGATTGGAGCCCTAATTTCTCACTTTCACCAAAGCTCACCGTGATACCCTAACCTTTCTGGTTCTCCATGTCCTCCGAATCGGGAGCTTCGACCTCCGGCGACGAAGCCTCCGAGCCAAACCCTAACCCTGACCATACTCCCAAACCCCCCGAAGACCAATTGGCAGCCCTCGCATTGTCGGAGGTCGATAGCCACGGGAATGGCGTCGGACATGGATCGGCCGCGGAGAACAATCACCAGGAGATCGAAAGCGACGAGGAGGAAGTCCAGGTCAATTCGGTTGCTCCTGGTTTAGCTGAGGTGGAGGAGGCGAGCGAGGGTTCGCCACGTGGTGGAGTCGGCGGTGGTGTTGTGTGGGCGACGACCAATTCGGAGCTGGAGATTGATGGGCCGTCGAGCCCTAGCAGCAGTGGGTATGCGGGTGAAAGAGGTAGTAGTGCCAGTAGTGGTGGCTCTGGAACTGATGAGATTTCGGAAGTGAGGAAAGATGAGATTGTCGATAGGTTTCCAGATTCGCAAACCCCGTGGGTGCCCAGTAAACGGCATGTCGATGAGGTATTGCGTTCTAACAACTCCTTGGTTGTGTAATTTGTCTGAAAATTTGATTGCAATTTAGTATTGCAAAATAAACAGTAGTGATTGAGAGAGAAATTGTGAAGAGATTTAGGTAATTTCCCTACGAACTTCTTCCGGAAATGGTATTGAAAATAGCTCAAGTAGTCGGTTCATTTGTATTTTTGTGTAGTTCACGAAATTCAAAATTTCAAAAGATTTTAGTTTAGAATGTGATCAATATTTAGTTGCCTTAGAGTCTTAGACAAATATAATGGAAATAAGAATTATGATTGAACACTTTGCATTATTGTTGTCTGAAAGTACACAGAAATGTCCCTTAATGTCTGAGAATACTTGCTACTACTATAAAATAGACCAAAATCTACCGCTAATGTTACAATGAATATTTTGAAATTGAGACAGACAATGTTTTTCTTTTTGACATGTATTTATACCTTCTTTTGATGAAGCCAGTTTTGCACCTTTTTAGACGAACTCACAGTATGGAGTTATACTTAATTGTTGGAGCCAAAATTGCCAAATTTTTTACCTTTAGACTGCCCTTAACTGCTGAATGATTTGGTGCTTACTCAAACAATCTTGTTGAATTTTCACAATGCCTTAACCATATCAATGTAACTGCCAAAATTCACACCATTGTTTAATGATGAAACGGTTCCAAAGGTAGAAGGGAAGGTGTAATAACAAATTAATAATGTGTTTCTTGGACTTGAATAATTTCATTTTATTGGGAATTCAATCAATACATGAGAAATAGCTTTCATTTCTTTCATATCAACAGACGATCCAATGTCTAGGATGTTAATTTTGTGTTTGCAGTAAAAAATGCTTCAATAAAAGACGAATTAGACAATAATTCAGATTCTAAGATAATACAAAATATCCAAGGGGTATAGGCTTACTTGTAGGGGTGCTATGCATCGAACATTGTTCTACTGCTGGTGTTCTTGTTGACTAGAATAAGTGTAAATAGACTGTCTAATGTTCAAATTTAAGATATTTGCATGTACTTGTGCACCTGAATAAGGCATTCAGATTTTGAATGATAAACGTTTATTGTTCTCAGTTTTTGTAACTCTTTGGGTCTATATGGTCATATAAATTCCTGTTTACGAGAAATCTTAGTTGAGTTACAGAGCTAAAAGCCTTAAAGTTTTGATAAAGGAAAAAAAAGGATGGCTTTCCAATTTTTGTTCCCTAGCATGGTCAGTGACATAAAATAGCATATAGCATGTTCTGCAATAACTAATAATACATCATAATAGGTATTGTACAGGATGATCATATATTGCGCATTACTGTGGCATTTAGTCCTTAAACCTTGATCTTCAATAGAGAACTTGATTGAAAATAATATGCTGTTCAGTGTCTTTTTTATTCATCCACAGTTCGCTACATGCACATAGCTTTACTTTCACTGGAAAAGTGATTTTCAAGGATAACTGCAATGGTCTGTTTGATTTATAATTGAAGTGCAGGATGATGCTTCCATATCATGGAGAAAGAGGAAGAAACACTTTTTCATACTAAGTCACTCTGGCAAACCAATATATTCCAGGTTTGTCTCAGGTGCCTCAACTATCTTTTTAAATAAGTGCAAAATTTACAATAATCTCTATGGAAAATAAAGGGAAACCAGTTTATCTATATTCTGCAGTCGTGATATATTTGTCTTCTATTGAATTTCTTATTTAATGGCAGATATGGAGACGAACACAAGCTAGCAGGATTTTCAGCAACATTACAAGCCATAATTTCCTTTGTGGAGAATGGGTACACACCTTAACCTTTCTGAGTTGATTCTCTTCTCCAATTTCTTAATTATTAATTATTTGTCCACTCTTACAGATTTACTTTAATGAAAGGTAAAAAACTTCCAGTGATTTGGTTCCTTAATTGTTTTACAGTGGGGATCATGTCAAATTGGTTAGGGCTGGAAAGCATCAGGTCTGTTTTGTTCCTTTATGCGTTTAGAATTTTTGTTCTTCAAGTTATCTCTTCTATAAATAATCCACGATTGCTAGGATGATCAAAAGAACTACTTTCTCATATTCCTGGTTGTATAAACTTAACATGATCTCGCTTGAATTCTATTGACCATCCCCCCGAACAGAAAACAACTTTAATTTTGAACTAGTTGTTGTAGCTGCGCCGTCCATCCTGACACTATCTTCGGCAGAGTTTGGTCATAGTGATATTTGCATGTTATTCTACAAAAAAAATATATGGCAAGGGACCTTAGGCTTGTACTTTTTGAATTTGATTATATGAATTGAAATGAGTTAAGTTTTATTCCTGAGCATCAACTTATGTATTTTAACTTTTAAGGATATAAACATAATGTTCATCGCCTTCAAAATGCCTAGTTGTTATTGTTTTATGGACGTCTAGAATGAATGACATTATTTTACTTTGTACAATACAACTCACAGTTGTAAGTCTTATCTTTTTGGAATCAGTTAAATTAAATTGGCATGAAATATTTGTATGCTCAGGTGATTTTTCTTGTCAAGGGACCAATTTACTTAGTATGCATCAGCTGTACAGAAGAGCCTTACGAGTCTTTGAGGGTGCAATTGGAACTTATTTATGGTCAGGTAGCATTGGGTTCTTCCCTTCGTCAAAAGTCTTTATGCATAATATGTTTGACTGTTAGGTCATATTTTGTTAATGATTTGTTGAATAACCAAAATATTCTGCTTGTACTTTCCTTTTAATGGAATAAAATATCTTATGTTAGTAACTGCACTTCATTTAAATTTTTTTTATGTGGATGCAGATGCTACTTATTCTTACTAAGTCAGTAAATAGATGTTTTGAGAAGAATCCGAAGTTTGATATGACACCGTTGCTAGGAGGAACAGATACTGTCTTCTCATCCCTCATCCATTCATTCAGTTGGTTTGTTTCTCTGCTCCCCTTGGCATGCCGAATTTGGAAAATGGATTTTTTCTCTTTTCTTTTTTGGTTTTGAAAAACCATCCAGTATACTCTTGTGGTCGTCTTTATTATTTAAGTGTTTTAACACAAGTAGTATGTTACAGATAATGTTATATTGGTGATGAAATATTGTAGTTCAGACAGTAACAGATCATCCAATTTAATGAAGGGGCTGCTTCCCTGATTCAATATTATTATCATATCAAACCTGATCTGTTTTAAACTGATTGTTCACTTTCAAAATTACATGTCTGGAGATCATAAAAGTTTCAAATTAAATTTTCTTTGTAAAATTTTTAGAACATATCTGATAAAACTATGCTTTTCAATATGAAGTTTACATAAACAAAGTCATTGTTGTCTTGAAATGTGATATATATTAGATGCTGTGCTACTTTCTCATTTACTTTTTGGGTTACTACTATTGATATCCTAATTTTTCTTGTTATTATATGCTGCCAATGTGATTCTCATTGCCCCGGCCAAAAAATAAAATAAAAAATCTAAAGCAGATGATGCTTATACTATTTACTTCTTTCTGTATTTTCAGGAATCCTGCCACTTTTCTTCATGCATACACTTGTCTTCCCCTTGCTTATGCAACAAGGCAAGCAGCAGGTGCCATATTGCAAGATGTTGCTGATTCTGGTGTTCTGTTCGCAATACTGATGTGCAAACACAAGGTTCTGTCATCCACCTTATTGTTTATAATTGGGAAAACCTTTTCTTTAAGGACATTTTAAAAAATTTATATTTCGTGGCACAGTTTATGAGCCTTTTGCAGTTGCAATGTAACAACTTGAAATTGATTGCAGGTTATCTGTCTTGTTGGTGCTCAAAAGGCCTCTCTTCATCCTGATGACATGCTGCTACTTTCCAACTTTGTCATGGCATCAGAATCATTTAGGCAAGTAGATTAATTGAATAGGTCTGGTGTCATATTTTCAGTAATTTAAATGAGAATGGGAATCGAAACTGGTACGATATGATACAGTAAATACTAAGTGCTAGTTTCAATTTCCAATCCCATGTACTTGTTTCAGTTTCCAATCACAAGATTTTCAGTTTTTAAGGACAATCGTACACTAAAATGCCATATGGTACTTTCTTTCTGCTAACATGGTTTCAATTGTGGGTGATAATTATTTATGGACACTTTCAGGTGCAATAGTCTTAAAATTCTCCTTTTCTCTTTATGCAGGACATCTGAATCTTTCTCTCCAATTTGCTTGCCTAGATATAATCCCATGGCATTTTTGTATGCTTATGTCCGTTATCTTGATGTGAGTGACATTTAGGTTCATGACATTTCTTAAGTAAATTTGCGTACACATATAGTATACCTTGCCTCATGTCAGCCTTTTCTAGTTAAAATATCATGACACGATAATACTTTCTTGTGGCAGGTTGATACATACTTGATGTTGCTTACTACTAGTTCAGATGCCTTTTATCATCTCAAGGATTGCAGGTATGTTATAGAATCATAGATATTATTAAGGATATTTGTGCTGTAGGAGGGCTTCATGTGGCAATTTCTTATCCTGTTACATAGCAAATCATTAACTAGTTTTTTCTTCCCTTTATAATTTTTCCTGTGATCTTATAGGATTCGTATTGAATCGGTTCTGTTGAAGTCAAATGTACTTAGCGAGATTCAGAGATCCATGCTAGATGGTGGGATGCGTGTTGAGGAGTTGCCTCTCGATCCTTTGCCACGTGCTGGATCTTTTTCTCCTCATTTGGTTCAACATACAGTTCAAACAGATTCTCCTGACAGGTTCAGGGAACCATATATTGGCGTAGGCGGTCCCGCTGGACTTTGGCATTTTATATATAGGAGTATATTTTTGGATCAGTATGTATCATCCGAGTTCTCACCGCCAATAAGTAGTCCTCGTCAGCAGAAAAGGTGACAGCTGAATCTAACACTACATTTAAGCATAAAATCGAATGTCTCCCACAATGAAGTCGTGTGTCACTTTTTGTTGTAGGTAGATAATTAATTCTTTTTCCTGCAGATTATACAGAGCTTATCAGAAGCTTTATGCTTCCATGCATGACAAAGGAATTGGGCCACACAAAACCCAGTTTAGAAGAGATGAGAACTACGGTACTTTTGAATTTATACTGCATCATGCATATGTGGAAAGGAAAAGTTGAAACACCGAAAATTTTTAATATTGTGGATGCACTCTCATTGCATCGTCCAAATTTTGGCTTTTTAACCATGATTGTATCATTTCAAACCTGAATATTAATGTTGGCTTTTCAAACGACCGGCATTTAATGGCCAGTACTCGAGGTATTTTGAAGTCATAGTTTCTCAACTAGCCATTTGTTTGTTGATCCCTTCACATTTATGACTGTAATTAATAAAAACTCTATGGTAATCGAACTTGATCTTTACTGTGTGTCATTGTTACTGTTTCACATTACATTTTTATATAGGATACCACGGTTGACTTTTGCTTTGATCACATCATACTTTGTGTTGACATGCATGATACATTCCTGATGAAGTTATATGATCATATTGTTTTGTCAGTTTTACTATGCTGGGCCACCCAGGACTTTGAGCTTTATGCAGCTTTTGATCCACTTGCAGACAAGGTACGATTATTCTTAAGGTTTTATTGTTTCCTACCCCTTTCCACTATGCATACTTGTCCACTTTTACATATGCCAAAGGGAATAAAAGGAAAAGGGTTGATGCTTTTTACTTCCACCGGCCTCGTTTGGTTTTATTAGACAAAAGGGAGGGCAAGAATATAAAAAAGTAAAAAGTCGTGGGTCCCAGCTTATGTTAAGTAATATAATTCCCCCCCCCTCCCTGCGAATTTTTTGGCTGCCTCATTTCTCCTACAAACAGTGAATTTCAAATTGTGGGCCCAGTGAAGGGGTATATATGCAAATCCTTGCCCTTCCATCCAAATTTTTTGTTTTTCCATTTCTCTAGACTGAATATAGATTTAGGGATGAGTTGACAAGAAAGGGTTTTTCTGAATGAGGCACGATTGCTTATCCAAAGAGCATTATAGTGTTCATCTCGCGGGATAGGGGTTGAGATGTGTTTCTGGTTAAGCAGCAGAATAAATGGGCAATGCTAGAGCTTGTCACTAGTGTGATCAACTCATAGGTTATCAACGTTTTGTATGCCCTGCTTATATTATCACTAGGCTAACGCAATCTCAACCAAGTTAGTGGGACCGGAGATGCTCATAGACAAAAGGAGAAATCAGAGAAGTGAAACAGAACACCTTAGAAGATAAGAACTTGTAGCAAAGTAAGAAATAACTGCGGTAATGTGAAATGAAAGTGAAAGAAATTGAAGAAAATGAATGGCAGGGCTACCTTGAGCACTGAAAGACTGATAGTAAACGGGCCCTACAATGCACATGAAACTCAAAACCCTGTGATTCATTCATGTGTCGTTACACTTCGACATTTCATTATAATCACTTAGGGTAAGGTAGATTCAGCTGGTTACATCCACTTATTAGCATGTGACAAACAGAAATCTGCCCTTCACAAGGTGCATTTTCTTTAATGTCAAGGCATTGAGGAAAATCAACTTCTCGTCAAGCCAGTGGGAGAAATGGGCTTAGGACTTTTTCCTTGACAAAAGATTTTAAGCTTATATTATTTTTGTTTTGGCTATAATTAATATTTCTTGGAGAAGCAAGTTGTAGCTGATTTGGATTTATCTTTAGATGCATTTTTTCTTCTTTAAATGCCTTCTCAACGTAAATTCGTACTGGTTTTCAGGCATTGGCAATAAAGACTTGCAACCGGGTTTGTCAGTGGGTGAAAGATGTGGAAAACGAGATTTTTTTGCTAGGAGCAAGCCCCTTTTCATGGTGATATCCCATTATATTCTGTAATACTTCCTGTACCATAGTTCTGTTTCTTTAACAAAGTTCAAGTTATCATTTTTGTCATACGCATTTGAAATAGCAGGCGATGTTGATCTTAACTTACCACGTTGTTGCTTCAGCTTCAAAAGGTTTGCATTTGGCACAGATGTAAAAGCAGTTACAAAAACAATCCTTTTAACACATGGTTATAAGTTTTTTCACACGCAAACTTTTGTGTAAGAAAGGGTTCCATTCTGTCTGTCTGTTTTTCTCTTTTCCGGATTGAGGTCTGCTGGATGTTTGCGAAGACACTTCAGGATCATTTTAAGCCTTGTTTTCGTTGACGGGTGTAGGGTTTAACGTATGAAATTGCCATGAACAATGCCTTAATCAGCACCATTTGTCACTGCACATCTTGTACTTGTTTCGTTGTGTGTTTGTGTTTCTTATATTTGCTCTTTTGGTGCATTATTGGCATTTTTTTTTAGAGTATCCAGGCTCATGGTCCTTGATTGCCATTCTTTTCCAAAGCTAGAGTTTATGTATTTAGGGTCTGTTTATTTTTTTATTTAAAATTGAATATTAACAGTACCTGACAAAAACTGGTCGCACGATGGACGATAAACGGACACGATTGGAGGATCACTGAAATCCTCACAAAGAGGATATGGAGAGGATCCTCATTCGATGTATACACCTAAATGTTACAACTTTGACTCGGGCTTTAACATTGAGTTTGTGTATTGTTAGAATGACTTCTTTCCATGTTGGCATGAACTCCACGTCAGACTTGAATATTTACGGTCGAAGAAGCACCGTTACGGTCGAAAAATTTGATCGTTTTCGCCTTACCGTTCTTCCTCTTTGGAGATGCTACAGAATCATGCACCTTGTATCCAAACTCAAAACCCTATTGAATGTTGTGCTCCATGCATAATTTGCACCAATGACCAAGAATCTCTCTCTCTCTCTCTCTCTCTCTCTCTCTCTCTTGCTTATTTGAATGGGAGTAATGTAAATTATGTAATCAAGTGATTGAGGCCTTAGAGGCATATGTTGTGTTCACATCATTGATTAGGGTTTTGTTAATTAAACATTTGCAACTAATCTTCACAAGAATACTGTTAATTAACATGTTGGACCTGGATCCAACAATTGCGGGACAAAAATTGATCGACCTGCGATACTTAGCCAGAAGATCTCTCTCTCTCTCTCTCTCTCTCTCTCTCTCTCTCACGCAGTGATAGGATCCCGTGACTAAAGCTCTCTACTTAGTACAACTTTCGTGTGTTCAAACTGAAAGCTATCATTTTAGTTTCAACGGAAAATTTTAGCAATGGTGTCTTCATTATGCGTTGTGTTTTTTATGCCCATGAAAAAATAGGTACCTTTTCACTTGATTAGTTTTAACACTTAACAAAAAGCTTAACGAAAATTGGTAGTAGATGCCACAAAAGAAATTTTACAAAGTGTAAAAGGTGTGACAATTCCAACTGTTTGGTAAAGAGTAAAGTATAACCCGAATTACAATTCAAATGGGCATTACTAATTTTTTATTTTTAAGGTGAAACGATAGCAGTTTCTTTAAAACATTAAGAAAATTTAAAAACTTCATAGACGGCATTCTGGATTAAATCTAGTAGCTATCATATATGTTGATATGTGAGCATGACATGCATGAGAAGCAGCTAAGGAAATCAACCATCACTCTAAAAGTCAAAAGCGCTTTGATCTTGATAATTGGAAATTCAATCACTTCATAACCTAACTACATAAAAGATTATGCGCCAAAACCGCCAACAAAACTAATAAGAAAACACTCTCTATATTAGTACAACATGGTATGATCATTTAAATATCATTCCAAGTGACAAATGATATTAGTACTATAACATTGTATGATCATTTTCAAGTTTTTCTTTTCTTGCATGCCTATAAACAAGCTCCATTGACTTTGACCAATGATCAAACTCGTCTAGGATTTCACATGATGCAACAAAATAATATATATATATATATGTGTGTGTGTGTGTGTGTGTCTATATATATATATGTATGTATGTATGTATCCTCGTTTTTTTTCAAAAAAATGGGGATTAGGTGTGTGGTTCACTTCACATCGAACTTCAATGATCCGAACAGTTTATTTTGTAAGTCTCGTTTCATAGATCATCCTTACAAAAATTCAATTCAATCCGAAACCATTTGCTTATTTAATTATCAAGATAAATTTTCATTGTTTCTTATATAACAAAGTATTCGTTAATTTCTTTGAACTCAATTAGATGTCCTAAACATTTTCGATTTGGCTAATACTTTGCAAGGATGATCTATAAGGTGCAACTTAAAATATAGACGGTTTGGATCGTTAAAATTTGATGTGGTGTGAACTCCACAACTAATCCCCATTTTTATAAAAAAAAATAAGGATCCCTTCCCTTAAGGGTTTCATATATATAGTGAAGTGCCGATTTAGTCATGGAATTATTATCTCAGTGAAAATTAGATCATTGAATTAATTTTTCGGTAAAATAAGTCCCTAAATTCATAAAAATTGCTAATTTTATCCAATTTTTCGTCAACTTAAGTCACTTGACACACTTTAGAATATAATACCATCATTTTTTCACCTATAAACCCTTAATATTTTATACAGGTTGCGAATCTAATATCTATATTATCCTCCAAAGTTAAATCCATACACTAATTCTTTATGAAAAATTGCCAATCTACCCTTTAATGTGTATCACATGCAAATAGTATGACTTAAATTGATGAAAAATTGAATATATTAGTTTCAAATCTAATATTAGAGATGTAATTGAAAGATTTTTATAATTTAATGATTGATTTTTCTAAAAAAAAAAAAAAATAGTTTAGAGACCCAATTTTCACTTAAGTGATAATCTATAAATCAAGGGGAGCATTTTTGCTCACCATCATTTAGTGTCATGTATGCTCATTACCCTATTTATCACCGTTAGATGAATTTGAATTTCGAGATTCGTGTAGTAGATAAGCATAAATCTCAAAATTTAAACTCATCTAATGATAATAAATTAGGTGGAGGGCATACACTACACTAAATGATGGTAAGCAAAAATGCACTCATAAATCAGGACGTACAAAATAAATGAGTCGGATCGTTGAAATTCGATATGAAATGGGTCCCATAATTAATCATTTCCCTTGTTATTTGTAAGATTAATTATCTTATAAATTTGGAAGATGGTGCCCTCCTTGTTAGGCTACGGACATCATTAAATGCCTAATTGAATTCCATCATCATCGGCAACAACAACAGGAAGATTTAAAAGTTAGTGGGAATGCTTTTTCAAACTTTTCATTTACTCGTCCATCTTCTTTGTGGACTAACTTGCAATTTTGGGATTTGGAATTGGAACCCGGGGGCGCTATCCCCCAAAACGTCTTCCAATTTCCTTCCTCAAAAGTATAATGACATTTTCTTGAAGAAGACTATGTTTGGAGGAAATTTTTTTTTTTTGAAATTTAGATTAAAGTCAGAATTTATAAATTAACATGTACAAATTTTTTTATTTGGATTTATAAATATAGAAATTTTGACTTTTTGCGTGGAAAAAAACTTGGAATTGAGACCTTCAATTCCCAAGTTTAAATTCCATGTAAATATGTGTCATTTTCCAATTTCTATGATTGAGAGTTTAAAATTAAAAAAAATTCATATTCAATTCCATTGTTTTATAAGGTTAATCAAACAAGAAAATTTACAAATTCTAAAAAATAAAATCCCGTCATTTTAATTTCTATCATTTTAAGATTCCTTAATAATCTTAAATTTCTTCATTAAAAAAATAGTGTTAGTACTACGGTTCAGTAGTATTCATCTTTACTTGTGAGGTCTTAGGTTAGATTCTCGCCAAATGCGAATTTGAATCACATTATTATCGCTAGTCCATTGTGAGACTTGACCTACTCTTCCCTCCCCTTAATATAGATAATATCGTTTTTTTTAGTGTAGATAATATCATTTGTTAAAAAAAATATATATAGCATTTTCGGAATTTCATATTATAGTCAAACATCATCAATTTCGGAGGTTAGAGAAGTTTTTGTTTTTGTTTTGTTCCCCACTTTTACTTGTCCGTGTATCATGACCATAACACCCTTGGACAGTTGGACAAACGACTTAACTTTATGAAAATTAGGGGGCAATTTGATCATTTGATGACATTGGTGCTGGAGATTCCATGCTCCTCTGAGTTGGGAATTATAATAATGTGCATGAAAGAGTGCACTATTGACTGGCCGATGTCGACCGTGGAGGCGTTGGTTTCATGGTGTTGACACGAAACAACTGCGAGTAACATTATATGTAACATATTTTTGGTTTTAAAACAAGGATCCTGGATTATCTGCACTTCTCATTTCATACCTTTTTTATCTTCTCTTATTTATGTGGTCACGATTAACTTACGTCAACATTTTATATTTCCATTGTTTTTTATCTTATTATTTCTATAAAAAAATCAATATAAAATATTTATATGACTTAACCGTGACCACAGAAATAGAAGAAGATGAAAATGGTATGAAATGGGGAGGGCAGACAATCCAGGTTCTTAAAATAAAGGGATTTTTACTTCTTTTGTTGTACTTTGTTTAAAAGTTTGAAGGGACATGGTGCATCTGTTGTTAATAAGAGCATCTCTACCTGTTTATAGAGGGTGATGGTAATTAGAGGGTAAGGATAATAAAACTCTTACTTTTCATTTTAAACAATAGTTATCTTTGTGCAAGTTCATCAATTTGGAAGGAGGAATGGTAAATGCAGTTACTATTCACAAAAACAATATTTTGATATCTTTTTTCATCTTATCCCCACATATCATCACCGTAGATTTTTGGATAATTTTAAACGTTTAATTTGCGAGTGTGTTGAATTTTGTAAGATTTTTAAAGTGTGAACATTGTAAGTTTTATTTTAATTTTTAAATAACTTTTTTGGTAATTTATATAATTTATATTTTATTTTTACATGCCTCCCGTTTTGTGGACTGCCGGAGGAGTTTTTTTTTTAGGTGAAGGGCAACTTAATCCAATTGTCCTTGCAATTGGATGACTGGTGGAGATGCTCTAAGGGCCAACTCGATCCTCTTGCCCAAGGATCCTAGATGGAACCCTAGGAGAGCCGCCTACTCTGGCTAACGAGCATGCACAATTCATACTAAATATGATCAACTGCACATT